ACATAACAAAAGTTACTGATAATGTGCACATCAGAATGAAAAAAAAAAAAGGTACCAAGTATTAGTAATTCAGAAAACTAGAAAACTTTTCAGAGAAGTAAGACACAATGTAATATATATTATGCAACAACACTAAATGTAACTGGCCTTAGTTTTCTGATTTGAAACTAAACACTGGCAACCTGGATTTAAAGAAAAACTTCTGCTGGGAGGGGGTTTACTGCCTGTTCTGCAGAGATCTTCCTGGTCACATAGGTGCCTCCATCTCCATCCTCCAAAGGGGCAGGGGAATAGAAAGCCCATCCTAAGGAATCCTGGTTCTCTGGGAAAAGTGTAGACCTTCAGTCATCTCACCTTTGTCCCCTATGGATTTTTATCTAACTTGGCTCACCCCTTAGCCCACTCTCTGTCCATTCCCCTGTTCTGGAGTTCATACCCAGGTCTCTTGAGACCTTGAAATGTAGTGGTATAACTTTTTTAAAAAGCAGACTTTTGAGTGGGAATAGTTGCATAGAGTTATAACCCCAGTATTTGGGAAGTAGAGTCAGGAGTCATGAGTTCATAGCCATCATCAGCTACATAGCACTTCATTGTTGGTTGTTTTATTACTCTTTGTTCTTTATTCTTTAATGGGCCCACAACCCAGCTCCCAAATAAATCACACAGATTCTTATTCTTTCTTATGAATGCTCAGCATCAGCTTGGCTTGTTTCTAGCTAGCTTTTCTTAATTATCCCATCTATCTTTTGCCTCTGAACTTTTATCTTTCTCTATTTATGTATACCTATCTTTACTTCTTACTCCATGGATTGTTTGGAGCTGGTTGGCTAGCCCTGATGTCATCCTTCCCTTCTCCTTTTCTCACTCCTTCCTCTTCTATTTATTCTCTCTGCCTGTTAGCCCCACCTATCCTTTCTCCTGCCTTGCTATTCGCTGTTAAGCTCTATATTAAACCAATCAGATGTTTTAGACAGGCAAAGTAACACAGCTTCACAGAGTTAAACAAATGCAACATAAAAAATACAACAACCTTTGCATCACTAAAAAAGGTTACACAGCATAAACAAATGTAACACATCTTAAATAATATTCTACAACAGCACTCAACAAGACATCTTAGGTGATATGACACCTTGTCTCAAAATAAAAATAAGCAAACAAACAAAAAATCTAGAAAAATGAACAACAACAACAAAAAGAAAAACAGAAAAGGGGACTCCTTAGCTTTTCTAAATTCCACATCCCCTAGTGTCTCCTTTTTCTTGTCTCTTAAGGACTCATATGAAATATGGTACTCCAATCCTTATCCCTTACACAGACTGTTAGGCCCCCAGGCACAGCCAGTTTCACTAGCTGTAACCCTAATTACACAGGGCTTGGGGTTCAGTTTATACAGTTTTCTTGTTTTAGTGTTCAAATTCAAGGCCTGAGCTCATGTTCATGCTGGGAAAGGCTTTACCTTTGCTCTTCCACTCCAGATTAATATTGTGCTATACTGAGTTAAAGTCTCATTTTCCTTTTGAATGTGTGGAACCAGTATCCTTCCCTTCTCTTTTCTTCCCTGTTCCCTGCCCTCTTCTCTGTCTTTTATCCTTTTATTCCTGTCAGATTCTCACTGTGAAACCCAGGATGGACAAGGATTTGCATTCTCCAAAGTCACCCTCCACACTGATGGGATTGTAGCTGTGAGCCATCATCCTCAACAGTAATCAAAATTTATTGTTGTGGTTTGAAAGCTAATTGGTGGCACAGTTTGGAGACATGGAACCTTGCTGGAGGAAGTATGTCACTGGGCTTGCTTTGAAGTTCTTAGCTTCCCCTCATTTCTAGTTTGCTTTCTCTATAAATTGTTCACATTTTGATTGAAGGTATTATCTCTAAGCATTGTGCTCTGGCAGCCTGTTGCCATGTCTCCTTCACTGTTATGGACTCTGGAATTGCAAACCAAAATAAATTCACTCTTCCATAAGTTGCTTTAGGGCATGGTGTTTTATCATGGCCACAAAAAGTAACTAATACAATTATTGAACACAATATCCCACGCCCAGTGGTAGGTGCTTTGTATGTATAATATGACAAGAAAATTAATGAGTGAAAAATATTTCTCAGTTTTGGATTGTGATCAAAGTGTTCAGAGGCCAAAAGTATAGATCAGTGGGATGACATGTCCATAGCATGCAGGAGGGCTTGGTTCATTCTGTAGTCATATATATTTGAATCCTAGTTCTCCCAGTTACTAGCTGTATGACTTTAGGAAAGCAATTTTCCCTTTATGAATGGCAGTTTCTTTACCTATAAAGTTACTTAAAATGTATGTCTCATGGGATGTTTGTAGAGGTCAAATGAGTTAGCTCCTGTCAGCACATATCTGGGACAGTGTAAGTTCTCAGTGCAACATTGGCTGTGGTGATGCACTACTGTAATTCTAGAACTTAAGGGGCAGATGCAGAAAGAATAGGAGTCCAAGGCTATCCTGAGATACATCGGAAGTCCCTGTCTCAGAAGAAAATAAGGGAGACTGGACTATAGCTTAGTCATAGAGCACACACCTACCATGTCCAAGGGTATCTCTAGGATCCTGAGTACCACAAGGCAAAAAAGCAAGCAAACAACCAAACTCCCACTCCAGAGAACAAACACCTCCACAAAACAAAACAAAATAATCTCTTATCATGTGGAAGACATCACTTTAAAATTATCAATTACTAGTACAGGGCACAGGAGTAGCTGACAGAGCACGCTGCTCCGATCTCCTTTCAATAAAGGAGTTATGATGCATCTACTAAAAGATGTCATTGATGACATCTCAGTGGTGACTCTGTTAAGATCCACCTCTGGTTGTCAGATCAAGACAAAAGCCTTGAGAATCTCTGCCATGGCTGAACCAGTGATAGGAAGGTCTTGATGTTTCTATCCCTGTGGGTCTCCTTTGGAGAATAGAATCTGTTATAGCCTGATGGCACCTCCCACATAATTAATTCTGCTCTTTCTTTTCTTGGGTATTGCACCTCATCAATCTTTAGTCCCCATATAGTGTCATATATATTTGGAAGAGACAACCTACCATACATATTTTTAAGTCTCTGCTCTTCCTCCTATGCATCTGCTCTTTCTTCTCCCAGTTTCCTCTTTGGGTCTCTTACAATGACAGTGAAGATTAAAATGTGAGAGATAACACAGATGCCTGGCAGTGCCAGAGTCTCTGTGCAGCATGGTCTACTCCTGCTTAAAAATCCAGGGTCCTGGCATCAGAGAGAGCTGTCCTCTATTCTGCCAAGATCTGGTAGTGTGTCGTCCCCAGTACCCTGCTTTCTCGGGGTGCTGGATGGTGATGTTACCCCTTGTCCTGAATGTATGCCCTTACATACATGAGTTTAACTCTACTTAAACTCATGGGAGGCTTCTCAAGTAAAAACTCCTTCTGCCAAACTAGATGACTTGAGTTTGATTTCTGGGACTCACAATGTCCTGCAAATTGTCCTGTGACTTCTGTACTCCAAAACATGCAAACACAGATAAATACATAAAATGAAATTTAAACTCATGGGTACATGGGGTGGTTTGAATAAGAATTGTCCCCATAAGCGCATATATTTGAATGTTTAGTCATCTGGGAGTAACACTACTTCAAAATATTGGGAAATATGGTTTTGTTGGGGTAGATGTGGCCTTATTGGAGAAAGTGTGTCACTGGGGATGGGCCTTGAGTTTTCAGAATCCAAGCCAGGCCCAGTGTGTCTCTCTCCCTGCTGCCCACTGATCTGAATGTAGAACGCTCAGCTGTATCTCCAGCAACATGTCTGTCTGAGTGCCACCAAGCTCCCCACCCTGGTGAGAATAGACTAAACCTCTGAAACGGTAAGCCAGGCCCAGTTCAATGCTTTCTTTTATAAGAGTTGCCTTGGTTGTTGTGTCTCTTCATAGTAATAGAACACTGGGACAGTACACCAAGCCATGTATGAGTGGGACTGATTCTTCACTGAGTTGATTTTGTTCAGTCTGGGGCAAATAGACATTTATTTGGGAAAATTTCATAAAACATTTAAGAAGCCACTAGGAAGCAATTCAATCAACAATGATGTTGGTAAGCAATTATTTAGAGGATTGGACTCACAGTGAAATCACTCTGGAGAACTTTAAGCATTGTTAATGCCAGCATCCTAGAACATGGATTCTGACTTCACTATTTCTTTATAAATTGACTTTGTCAGATTTTAAAAGTGCTTCTGGAAACTGTTGCATAGAGTCAGAGGTTACAACCTTGAGTTCTGTGGTGTGGTGTGCATGAGCTATGTATGACATCCATGTGTGCGGTGAGGCTTTGCCTGATGAAGCATCTCAGTTCTAGAAGGAAGAAAACAGCTTTGCCTAGCTAAAATAAAGAAGAAATTCAAGATAGGCTCTCCAGTTCGGCTGCATTGCTGCGGGAGGAAATACATTCTTGGTGGACACATCTGTAAGAATGCCACTAGCTTTCACCGGAGGATGACTTAAGCACAGACATTGGATTATTGTCTGTGAGGAAAATATCATCCTGCAAATCCAAAAGGAATGGAAATATTTTGCATGAATATGGAATGCATTTTATATATTTTCAAATTTCTAAGGTAAGTAATGAAAAACATGGTATTGTTTTCTTAAATGTTAGTTTTTACAACCAAGTTCAAATGCTTTTGATTTTTTTAAGTGAATATTTTTTAAAAATTTGCTCTTTTTAGATTACATAGGACACAACAAGGTATATGGATTTATACACCATTCATAAATGTTCATACTTTATTTTACAAGGTTAAATGCAGACAAACACGAAGGAGGTTCTGTCACAGGAAGCCCTGCCTTAACTTACCTGAGAAAGCAAGGCCTCTTCATTCTGGATTCATCCACCCATGGGTTGAAGCGCGAACTGTCACTCAGGGTGGGACCTTCAGCACCACCCAATCAGAGGCACTGGGATGAAGGCTACCCAATCAGGCACACGGACGGAGTCTAGGGGGCGGGTCGCTCAGCCCGGGGTCCGTTGTGGCTGACCCCGCCATCTTTGCGTCTCTGGCCGCTTTTCTTCTTAGCTTTGGGGTTCCCGATTGCACCCGATCTGTGTCGCCGTGTGACTCGCTGGTGCCTGGACACCCAGCGCGAGGGTCCCGCTCACCCGGAATCCCGAAATGGTGCGTGAACCCACGGTAGCGTCCCGAGCCCCCGCCGCCCTCCATTGCCCCCGTGGTTGCGTCCGGGCCCCCTGGACGCAGGGCTCGGGCGGCTGCTGCAGCCCGGGGTCCGCGCACTGGGGACCCGCAGTGACATTTTCCTGGCCAGGGCCGCTGCGGACGCCTCCCAGGTGAGAACGCCAGGGCTGTGGGACCTGTGGCTGCCCCAGCGCAGGCGGGATCTTCGCTGCCGCCCCCAGATCTGGTAGGACTTGGGTCAACAGGAGGGGATGCTGGCCGTTCGGTCTCAGGGCCCTTCAGGTCACCGGCCTCCCCGGGGTTTTCCTGAAGCCACCCCGCCCACTGACTTCTTCTTGCACCTTGGTGTTTGTCCCTGGCTGCCCGTGTGCCAATCTTGTGCTGTGTTTCTGAACCTCTGGCTGAGGGAGTCTGTGAACCGAACCTCCCACCCGCTTCCTCTGCTGTTAATGGCCCATCTTTTCCCTAGTGTCTCTGGATTGCTCAACGTGTGTCCTCCATTGAGGCCTGTTCTTGAGGTCCTGGAGTCTCCTAGTGACCTGGAGTAGGTACTTCCCCCCTCTGCCTTCTGGCTCTGGCTCTCTGTATGTTACTAGGGATGGAACCTAAGAATTCGTTCATGCAAGGTAGTGCATGAGTGTGCACGGTAGTGCTCTGCCGTGAACCAAACCAGTTACTCGTCCTTTTTTTTTTTTTTTCTTAGCGTTTTTAGTATCATATATATTAATGGTACATAGTAGTGGTTTTCATTACATTTTATACCCGTATATAATGTATTTTCTTAACGCCAACGCCTATTACTCTCCTGGTCCCTTTCCTCTCTCACTAGAACTTCCCCTCATTCTTGGATGTTTTTATGTCTTTTTTATTTTTATTTAAGGACCCCTGACTTTTGCAGGCTTATTGGAAGGAGTTAGTTACAGGAGCACGGGCCTCAAACCATCGTCTACACTACTGAATAAAGAGCCTCCCCCGAGAAAACCATTAACTGCTTATACATCCTGAAGGAGGAATGGGATCTTGTGAGCCTCTACCTACTATTTTACTGGTTTATTTTATTTTATTTTTTGAGACGTAGTTTTACAAATTGGCTTTGAGCTTTCCATCCTCTTCCCTTAGCTGGAAACACAGGCCAGCCTTTTGTACTTTTTTGTGGAAGTAAAGAAAGTACCCCGAGGTAGGGATTGATACTTGGAAGGAGCCCAGGTACCAGGTGCTCTTCCTCCTTTAATCCACTTCGGCTTCCCCACCAGTACTCTAGGGGATGTGGAGAAACTCAGATTGCCTCTCTCCTGGTGAGGTCCTGGCACACATGCATCGCTTGGGTAGCGCAGTATGGTTCTGGAGTGATTAAGATGCACAGAGCAAAAGAGGGCTAGAGGCAGAGGAGCAGGTATGAGAGACAGCGGCAGTGATATAACAAGACCTGCAGCCAATTAGCAGGCAGGTCCCAGTACCAGACTCAGGCCAGCCGTGTTGACTCTCTCTGCTCTCCCATTTTCACACTGATGGCAGCGGGGAAGGAGCCAGGTGCTTGGTACGTGGCTGATGTATTCAGGAACCAGAGAGGCGGGGCAGAGAGGCAGTCTCCAAGTGTCCCTCCTTGGGATTTGGCCATATAGCACTGGGTTTTCCAGATCTCCCTTGGTACTTGTCTGGTCCATGGGAAATAAAGGAGGATTTGGATTAGGAGGCTCAGGGCAGGGAATGGGGGCTGTACCCTAAACCTGAGCACTGCACATGTGGGTCCCAGTTCTCTATATGTATGTCCCTATGTGCCTGCAAATCTGTACCTCCATCCCTTCCCTCCCTCTCTCCCCTGTCTGTGTGATTCTTTCGTTGTTTATCTTTGATCTTTCAGACAAAGTCTCACTCTGTAGCCTACTCTGGACTCAAGCTTATGTTGATCCTCCTGCCTTGGCCCTCGGATCCTTAAGAATCTTTTAGGCATGAGCTACCATATGCAACTCCCTGTCCCTTTTTGTCTTATCTTTGTATCTTTGGAGTGTCTCAGTCTCTGGAAGTTTGTGTGGAGCCCTGCTCTGGAAGGTAGTTTGACTGGCCACTCACTAGGATTTTTTTATCCTGGGAATCCAGAAGCAGCTGTGCATTGAGGCTTTACCTCTCCTCTTCTTTTTCTCTCTAGATATCTCTTTCCATGCTCTGGTAAGGTGAAACAGGAGAGGGAGGCCTAGATCTGGGTTCAAATCTCACCTCCAAGCTAGGAGGCATGGTGGTGCAGGTCAGAATATATATCGCAAGTCTGAGGAATGCAAAGTGAGTTCATGGTGGGCCAGGGCAATTTAGTGAAACCATGCCTCAAAGAAAAAGATACAAACCTTTAAAGTGGTAGAGTGCTTGTTGGACATGTGTGGTAGGTTCCATACCTAGTCACCTCCCTGTGGGACCTCAAGCCAATCCCTGTCTTTGGAGTCTGTTATATAGATTGATGTCACCCCTCATCTGTTACTGTGCAGCCATATCAGGACACATGGGATTGCCGTGAAAAGGCCAAAGGCTGCTTTAGTGCACACAAACCTTCCATTTTGGAACCCTGAGACCAGGAGAAGGGTGCTGTATGAAGCTGTTCCCACTATAATGAACAGAAAGCTGAGGCTAGGGGGTGACTCTTCCTGCCTGACTCCTTGGGACAGTGACTTGCCCCTCATAGGACAGGAGAAGGCAGTGTGTGCACAAGATTCAGTGATGCCTCACAGGGGTGGCAGAGGTGGTGCTGATGATGAGCATGGATAAGGTACTAATAGTTCTGAGAGAAGAGGCCCGGCAGGACGAAGACAGAGTATGAGAGAGGAAGTGAAGGCCTGAGGGAGGAAGAGAGGCCCTGTGAGAGAGGGTCTCTGAAGGGAATTCCTCAGACTCCTACGGGCAGCAATGTCCCAAATGCTGTTAACAGCAGGAACACCTGTTGAGGATCCACTTCTCAGAGGGTGCTGTCTGGGGACCTGGCATGCCCCAGGAAGGGAAGCCAGGAGCCAGCTTGTTCTGTATCTGTCTCTTTCTTGACTGTTCTGTTGTTCATGGAAGTGTGAGGTCCACAGCAGTCTCGCCTGCAGTATCAGGAATGAAGGATGTGGTTGGATGGACAACTCTTGGCTCACGTCCTCCCTATGGGTAAACTGTTTTCCCTGAGCCTTCCAGTTGGGTGGGAAGCAAGTTTGAAAATCCAGAACCATGGCTAGTACTTCCATTACCCTTTGTGTGTCTGGCAACAAGTTCCTATAATGTCACTTCCCTTTAAGTGTTACCAAATATCAACAACGCTTTTTGCTAGTGAGAATGAATTTGTGTGCCACATGCATGCAGTAGTCTGAAGAGGCCAGAAGAGGGCATCATATTCCATGGAACTGGAGTTACAGACAGTTGTGAGCTACTGTGTGGAGGCTGGGAACTGAACTCTCTCCAGCCCCATCAACGTCATTTCCTGCAGTATGCTGAGCTATTTGTTCCTTGTAATATGTGATTTATTAAAAACAGATATTGGAGCAGGGGATATTTGAAGAATTTAATTCTGTCCATGAATGTTTCACATGAGAGGAAAGCTGAGAATATTCACTTGAGCCCATGTAAATGATCTTGTGTTTCTCTCCTGTGTACCCTAAGGACAGAAACCTTATCTGATGACACTGTGTTGGGCTCACCCCTAACAAACTTTATAGTGTGATGCCCTGTCATCCCAACATCTGTACATCCTGGTCTGAAGTGCCCACAGAAGCTGTGTTTCTATTCTCTTCGAGTTCTACTGAATACAGCCCTTGGGTTCTCTTCTAGGGAGCGGTCTCATGTATACTATGGATCTTCTGTTGGGAACAGGTAGATGCTGTGCATGTTGGAGGAATGTCCTGCCATACCTTTATCTAAGTGACACTTAACTATTAGCATTCTTGGCAGTGAACATGGATGTGAAACCATTACTTCATATTTAGATGTCTGTTGCATGCATACTAGCCTTGGTGATTATTGGATCATATGGAAGATCTGTGTTTACTTTTTTTCCAGAGCTTGAATACTACTTTGTAAAATGACTGTACTAATTTTACACATCAACAGAAGAGAACCGAGTTCCCTTTTTGCCATGTCCATTGTAATCTGACTCTTGTAATCTGTCATTGCTTTGACATGGTCATTCTCATAGCTTTCCTGGGGCTGCAAGAAGTATGTTGTCTGCTACATCCAATCCTTGGGGCAAATTTGTTACCATTCAGGCTGTCCATTAGCTTCTAAAGAACGGATGACTTCTGGGACTAGACTGGAATTTGTCTTGTCATCCTTCTCTGCATTAATTCTGGGTTTTAGATAGTTGTTTTTCTGGACCCTAAAGAGATTTGCATGTGCCAGATTGCTTTGTTCCCAGAACTTGAGAGTTCAGTATATATTCCCACAAACCAACCCAGTTTAAAGCTGAGGCATTCTGTGAGTGGCAGACTCCTTCTATGAACAACTAGTAGACCTGGAGGTGTTATGTGTGAGCAGTGGAGGGGCTCAGTAGTCTAAACTCCCATGCAGGCTAGCAGAGGGTACTAATCTTTTCTCTGTTATTCTTGAGGGGCAAATGAAAGCTCAGCTTCCAGTAACAGCACTTAGCTTATCATAGTGGAGAGTCCTTCCAGGGAGAAATGTGGCCTTGGAGTTTTAACCAGTTTTCTGTCTTGTTCCCAGGTGATGAGGCCAGGGGAAATGTTTGTATTAGCTTATGAAACTATGATTCTTCTCACTTTTCTAGAGAGGTGTGTGGGTCCATGTATTTACATGTACGACATTATCTTCTCACCCTCTGGATGACCTCAGGAGCATAGGATCATTTTCCTCTTGTATTGTGTGATGCAAGTTGTGTTCTTGATCATGTGTGTGTCTAAGCATTTTGAACTCATTGATGTGATGTGATTGTTGTCTCAGTTGTCTCAGTTTCCTGGTATATAGAGGGCAACTTTTTCAGTTGCTTTTGAGAGAGAAATGATACGTATAAATGTTTTCCACTTATGATCCATTTTTGCCCGAGAAGCTTTGTATGAACCCAGATATATAGGTTCATATAAAATAGAAATACAAACCAAACATGTTTAATAAATCTTACACATTTATTTTAAAATAATGCCTTATGATTTTATTGGTTGCAAAAGACAAAATGAACTTTGCATACCAATAAAATGAATGTGCGTGTTTTCGTAACACAAGTCAAATATATGCTAATTTTAGTGAGGAATGATTTTGGGAAAATACTTAAAATCTTTAATTTCCACGATTAAACCATTGTTTCAATAAGATCGGAAAACTGTATGCAGAGTAAAAGCCTTGCAGTATAAAACATCATTTCAAGCAGTGTTCCTTGAAACTGCATGGTGATGGCATGAATAGTGCCTAGTGCACATGCTGTGTGTTCACAGCAAAGGCTACAGTGCTGTCACCTGTTGCCACCTGGCTGGGTGCTATCCACAGAGTACTGTTCAAAACCTTGCATTCATTATGTCTTCCTGAGTTAAATTTTGGTCGTGGCATATTTAGAAATCCTCTCTGTTGCAAAAAATAATTTTGTGACCCTATCATCACATACACACCCCCAAATCTTGCTTTTAAGAATAAGATCTATTCTACTGTAGGAAGGGGGACTTGAGGTCCTGCCCCTGTATCTTCTGCACTGCAGCACAGTGCTGTACTGCCAGCTCCAGCACCTGCCTTTTCATTGTGCTGTGCATGCCTTACAGATTTAATCGTGTTTTTATAGGATTGAATTTATAGAATCCACTCTCTTCCTATTACTGGAAACCTTACAGACACACACTTGGTTACAATTTTGTTTCTATTGTAATTCCATGGAGAGCTCTTTATAATTTCTTCAGTCACTGCTTTACCACAGAGGTAAGATACTTGTATTGATCTTAATCTACTGCACGATACAGAATACAAATCAAGCCCCAGCTTCTATGTGATACTGGCAAGACACAAACAACTAGAGAAATGGATTCTGATCCAAGATCTGAGGCCTTTGGTTGACAGGAAGTGTTTCATTACAGGGGTTGGTGTCATTTGAGGACGTGGCTGTGGACTTCACCTGGCAGGAGTGGCAGGAGCTGGATGCTGCTCAGAGGACCCTCTACAGAGATGTGATGCTGGAGAACTACAGTAGCCTGGTGTCCTTGGGTGAGTCTGACTCAGAGGAAGCAAACTTTTAATACTAAGTTGATAGACATTAGCTGGTACATGCTAATGCTAATTCTCCTTGATAGCTATTTTGAAAGATTTAATTGTCAGACGTGTTTATTACTCTACTATGGAACATAAGTTCTGTGTCCTTTGCATATATACTAAAAGCATATCCCCTGTCTAGCACCTCCCAACACCCCACCCCCATCCCCAATATCTTTGCTCTAGTAACTGCCATTTTCTCTGTTTCTTTGGGATTACCTTGAGCTTGCAAATATAATGAGGACGTGTGGGATTTTGCATTTTCTGGCAGACGTGGTTTGTGGATCTTTTGTCTTTCCTGTGTAGACATAAGAAATTATCTGTTTATCTCAATTATGGAGGAAGTCAATAGCTCAAGAAAACATTCATCTATTCCAGTCTGGTGAATCAGAAAGTGTATTTTTTGTAGTCAGAGAGCCAAAGTGACTCTCTCACAGTGGTAACCCTGACAACTCCACATCTTACTCAGTTTTGCCTTCTATGGCACATGCAGTTGGGTAGAAGGGGTCTGGAATCTCTCTTGAGGGGTTCATGACAGTCTTCTGAGGAAGTGTTGGCGAGTCATTACTGGGCCTAGAGACCTAGGTATTTGCCGTATCTCTTGAGTTCGGTGCTGTATGTGTGTACCAGAGTCTCCTGTGGGCCATCAGTCATTTAGCTTTAAGATAGTGGGGATCATCGTGGGCTCAGAAATGGCAATGTATAGTTTCACAGTGTGCTTTCTAGTTCTGTTCCTGGACAGGTGTTTCTTTTTGTGGGGTGATGCCCAAGAAAAATTGTTAGGATGTCAGCACCCCCTTCCTTTGCTTTCTGGCTGTGGTAAGGTAAGAAACATAGCGGCCTTTTCTGTGCAGATAATTTTAAGTTTGGTGTGATCCCGTTTGCTGATTTTGCTGTGCATCTGGTAGACATCAAAATACTCTTGTCTTCCTCACTGTCCTGAGGTATTTATTGTATACTCTAGGGACATCATTATGTCAGGTCTTACACTTTTGGTTTACTTTTGGCGTTTTATTTGTTTGTTTGTTTGTTTTTCCTTATTATGCATCTGTAGTGCGGTTTCTCAGGCTGGCTTTGATCTCCCTTTGATCTTGACCTTCTGATTCTTTTGGCTCTATCTCCTGAGTGCTGGGATTTTGGGTGTGTGCTAGCACACACAGAACTTAATCTGTTTTAGTTGATGTCTATAAAGTTTAGAGAGGGGGGTCTATTGACTTTCATCAGCCTGAATAGTCCATGTTTGTCTGCAAGATTTACAGATGAGAACTTTCTTACTGGTTGAAAAGTCTTGAAACCTTTGTTGAAAATCAGTTGACTGAATGTATTAGTCATCTTTCTCTCACTCTGACACGATACCTGAGTGAACTCAGAACAGGAAGGTTTCTGTTGGCTCATAGTTTCCCCCTGGTTCTACTTGGCCATGTTACTTTGGTCCTATAGTGAGGAAGAGTGTCATGGAGGGAGCACATGCCTGAGATATGCCACTTAGCTTCACTGCCACCAGAAAGTAAAGAAAAGGTTCTGACATGACAGCATCCCTTTTTGGGCATCTCCCCATGGCCACATTTATCAAAGACTGGTAACTAAGACTTCAGCTTTGGAATGCTGTATTCTTTGGAATGCATTTCAAATCCCCACTATCACCCCGAATAGATCCGGTTTTGCTTGGGGCTCTCTGTTCTCTTCCAGTGGTGTCTGTCTCTTTTTGTGCCCGTTCCCTGCTGTCTCTTTGTAGTGGGTTTTGAAGGTGGGTATCAAGAGCTCCATATTTGTGCTTTTTGAACAAGATGCTTTGCTAATTTGGGGTCTCTGGCGCTTTCACATGATGTTTAAGACATTGTTTAGGAAGTGCTTTCTGTTTCTGTGAAGAAGAATACTGATTTTACTCTGAAGATATTGTTGAATCTGTAAATCAGTGTGAGTATTGCTTCTTTTAAGTATTACTTTTTTCATGTATTAATATGGAATATGGTGACCTATTTTTGTGTCTTTTTTTCACAATATTTAATTAGTTTATTTTTACTGATAACCTCATATATGAATGCAATGTATTTTCAGTTTTACCATCTGTTATCTTCTTATGTCCCCCATCTCACTAAGCACACTCTCTTATCTACAGTTCCTCTCTACCATCTCTCTCTCTCTCTCTCTCTCTCTCTCTCTCTCTCTCTCTCTCT